ATTATTTTCCTTTTCTTTCGCGTTTTCACAGCATTTCATGCTGTTCCCACGCGCTAGTGTTTTGTACACCCGGCGCGACGCGATTTGGTCGCACGAAGTATACCCCGGGCCTATGGGGGAGGGGGGGGAGAGTAGAATAGGGGATGGAAGAATGAACAATGTGTTCATTATTTTTACGAAATACATCACCGAAAAGACTAATTTTCCCGATCCACCAGAAGATTTCATGCTCACCGCTCTAGCTTAACTTTACCCAATCACAGAAGCTCGGTAATAATAGGAGCTACTGTCCGTAGAAGACTACAAAAAATGTGCCAGCGTGGACAAATCTAAATGCCTTTTTATTTCTGTGGAAAGCAACGCTACTTCCAACTGGACGGAAACGGAAAACTGAGAATACTTTAAACTAGGCAAAATGAGAACACTCATTTGCATTATTTACCAGCCGATTAGCTGCAGCTTCAGTTCTCAGACTGCTTAAAGCTGAAGCGACTTGCATTTTTGCGCAGATTCGTCCAATTCCGGCGTAAAATGGACGGAATTATTAAGTTCGACTTTGTTGAGGATGTTTCACACCCTGCGATACCACTCAGTAACCGTGATAGATATTCCACGGCCGATGAGTGGAAAACTGACAATCCAATAAAATAGAGAATCAAAACTGTTTTGCCTAAGTTTTATAGACTCTCGCAGTGACGCTGATATATGCTCACCGTATGATCGGGATAAGAAGTAGCATTTGGATAGAAAACCAAACATGAGTAATTCAAAGGTCATAAAATCAGAGTGTCAATGTGAAGTTATGATGAAATCTGAAGTTCTCGTATGTAGTGATATCTTTCGGGCAACACAAATTGCCTTTAATTCGATTTAATCTAAAAATATGCAAAATGTAAAAACAGTCAAAAATATGCGATACTTTCGAAAGCTCTAGTAAACCAGAGAAAGAGGGGCCATTTGACCCTCTCGGAAAAAGCGCTTGGTTTTCAATAATGTTCGTTATAACGCAAAAAGAAGCTCACATCTAGCAGTCCTGGATCTCATTAGTGCTCTCTCAACAGCTCAGGATCAAGTAGCCAGCGTTACTTTGTTTGTGGCGCCTGAATAAAAAATTGGTTAACAAATGAGTTCTAACCAAAGTAGTGCACTAAGACCAGATTTTAACCGGTCTGCTGCTTTGGAATGGAGGGAGGGTCGTAGGAGAACGAGTGTCGCCTTATCCACGCGTGCATAGTCCCAGAATCAGACCACGTTTTCTTTAAAAAAAAAACACCCCCCCCTCTAGCTTCGATGCAAAATTAACTGCTTTAGCAGCTTACGAACATGCCAATGTAAGCAAAAGGCGAAACAGAACTGAGAAAAGTGGCGGTAGCTTGAGAACTTGGAAAGAATAAGCTGAAAAGAATGAACACTGTGCAAAACTCGGGTGTCCATAGTGCGCAGAACAACTAGTGACTGTTATCAGCGAGTGCTTGATAAGGAAGTGGTCAATAGCATCGAAAAACAAATTTGGACGGCTGTAAAAGCCCGCTGTGGCATATAAGAATATGAGAACATTTTCACCAAACTTTATAGCCTGAGTCTTTCTGGCCGAATACTATATCTGGGAGGAGGTCATTCAACTAACCACTAGAAATCTTTCTGCCCCGTGAACCTCAACAATTTCGTGATATGAGACTAAGCCAGATAAGCTAATGCGGGCAGGGTCAGTGCTCTACCAATTATATGTAACAGAAAAATAGAAAAAGCTTAGACGCAATCGTAGTAGTTACGTAGCTGCGAACATTTTAGAAGAACTTCTGTGTCTCTAAGCCAACGCGGTTTCCACGTTTTCTGTTATAAAATTATTTCGTAGCATGCAATAGCTGTATGGTGGCTCCCATTTTTGCTGTTTGGAACACCATGAGGTTTCTTGACAAACCATTTGTAAGAATTCGTAGTACGAAGATGGTACAGCAAGTCAGTTGGTATATGCTGTATTTTTTGTAAATGCACTAATATAGTATGCACTTGTGCTCTTTTTTTTCAAAGAATCCATCGCTTGCCGAGAAAATTCCATTCAGGGGATTTTTTTAAAATTCAAACGTGACTGCATCTGTTCACTGGATGAACTGGTACTCTGCAAATTGTTATTACAATGGCACAGATACGTCGAAATCTTTTATGATTAGGCTTTCTAGTATTCTCTCCAAACCAAGTGAAAAAACTCTCGTTTCTGTATAACTGTTTTTAAGACCAACTACAGTGTGCACCGTGATCGACGGTCGTTTTCTTATTTAAAGCGATGTTCGTGTTACAAGCAGGCGTGCACAGAGGTTCTGACATGATATGTGAATGACCTGTTGAAGCAGCTATTTCGGAAGGTTTTTTTGTAGCCGGTGGGTATATGAATAAGATGATACCGAGACTTGGAACTCCACAAACCTGCTGTTTTAATCTAGTTTGCTCATTAGTTCAGTAGTTGCCCATTAATTGGTTTAGCCATTTGTCCAGTCGTTTTGCAGTTCACGGATCTATTGATCGATTGGATCGAACGGCTGCACTTTTCTAATATAGGTTGGCTTGTCGGGATAGGCACCTTCTTTTTCGTTGAAACTGTTTTTAATGACTTCAGTAGCTAGGATGGTTCCGTGCTGTTGCCTAGGAAATTGTAGAAAACAGTAACTAGTATAACATTTGTTTTTTCTGGAATTTTCAAAAAGCATCTTGAAGAAAATATTATTGTTTCGCAGTTTCAGCATGGATCGCGTAAAAAGAGATTAATAATTACTGGTTCGCTCCGATCTCTAAATGACTGTTCATTTTCCTGGATAATGGCAGCAATACTGACGTTATTTTTCTTCATTTTATTAAAGCATTAGACTATTCATGTAGGTATTCGTCCACGCATTGTGGGTTGGACTGAGTCATTAGTTTATGGTGGGAACTTTTTGGCTTCAGTGAACACCTCTTCTGCAGCCAATGTAGTTCCACAGGGAGGGATTTTATTCCCTTTTTTATTCAACATGTTTGACTATGACTTGCCACTCACTGTTTCTGTCGCAGTTGTTAAATGCAGCGGCTCTGCTGATGCCATGCCATGCAGAAAGCCATTGATCCGGTAGTTCAGTGGTAGCAGTCTTCCCTTTCTCAATAAACTAAGGTCCTTCACATTGACGCTAACAATCTAAGCGCAATAGCTTAACAAAACCTCTAAGTTTAGAGTGTCGGCGGAATAGCAGACCTCGGCTTTATTGAAAACGGTAACTTGCAGTGTAAAAGACTTGTACCAGGTCAATATTTGATATGGGACGCCTGCTTTTATTCCTACGAAAAGAAACTAATCAACAGTAAGCTTGCAAGTGTACGAAACAATTTCCCAACATTAGTGACGATAGTCCTTGCATTTCCATGTGATCAGCTTCTTTCCAGCAAAGAATGTAACACAAATTCTGAGCTGACACTCTTGCACATAGAAGGCCTTTCGATTTATACTATTTCACGAAGTTATCACTAGTCAGCTTGGTTTGAAGCCTGAGTTGTTCTGCTATGCACGACATTTGTCTACCAGAAGCAATTCTACCAAGCATACATGCCAGCGACACTTCTTCTCTAATAGCGCTGATTATTTTAGATCTAGCAGTCGGAAACTGGTGCCAGTTAAAAATAGCATATTTAAAAGGACTTTGAGTCATATTTACTTCAGCACTTTCCACGGTCTCTTTTTATCTCTCGTTATGTTTTCTTGGTGTTTGTTCTTTTTTCTTCTTCTTCTTTCCACAGTCTCAATTTCAGACGTTGATATATTATGTCGCTGCTCAAATTTTTTTTTTAAAATTCCACGATACCCTTTCTCACATGAGTGTTATATGCCTCATGTAATAAATTACTACTACTCTAAGCGAAATCGAACCATCATCACCGGCAGTGGATTATAATCTAATGATCAAGCGTCGAATCTTCGAAGCAGAAATGAACCGAAACAAAACTGCAGGATTCCAAAATAAGAAGCACAAAAGACACAGAAGTTTGGCAAAACTTAATCCTAACTGCGGAACTGCTAGTATCTGTAAGCATTTCCGTGCAAACATACCTGAGCACCTTAGGTCTACCAAGTCCATTATGTGTGAAGGCAATCCTTACAAAGATTATAAAAAGCTGTTTCCACAACGAGTGATACATCGCTAATAAAATAGCCGCCGGTACGATACCTTTAAAGTGACTATTTTTTTCGATTTGTGATAT